ACAAGAGCGAACTGGCCTCCTCTGCTAGCTCTGCCTGTGATTGGCACTGGTGATGAGCCTACTCTGTAGTCTGTGTTCACCTAGTGCATAGGTACCCAATGTCCAGGACACGCGGTTGCCTTTAGCTAAGATCTTTTTCCCAAGATTAAATTCCTTAAGGCAGGCAGGGTCTTATTTATACCTGTGGTACATGGAATAGCACTTGCCACAAGAAGCTACTGTAGCATGTAAATATGTAAGTGACAAATCTGAAGGAGAACTCCCTGGGCGTATGGAGTTTTCATTCAATAAAATGCTGTCAAGGTCAAGTACATCTGGCACACTCTCATTCCCTCACTGGATCTTTTCCTTCAAAATCTTCTTCTCTTTCATCTGCCGAGTCCCTGAGAAGTTGCCTATGACTTAAAACCCCAAACTATGGAACTCCAAACTTCCTCTTTCCTGAGGACTCATGGACCTCGAAATGCCTTCCTTACTGCTTCTGCTATTCCATCCAAGACATTAAAATCCTTTTTTTCATTTAGGATGAAGGGTTTGTTTTCACTTGAAAATGGAGCAGTAATTTAATGTGAATAAGTCAGTAGTTGGAGAAATTTCAAGAATAATGATAAAAGGCAAAGAAGATTTCCTAACCCGCCAAATCAAACTCCTGCCAGAGACAAACTTGTAAGCATGACTTTAAATCACATTGATCCTCTCTCTTCTGGCCTGGTCAAGTATATTAAAGCAATCTTCAAGCACAAAATTCTGCTCAGTGTTTGCCCAATTTACCCACATAATTCTCCACCCTGGCTTCTAACCCTGGAATTAGACCTGTTCTGTACAAGTTCACAGTGGGCATTTGCTTCCTCCCGGGAGAGTGAAAAGGACTCCTATGAAAGTGGCCTCATCAGAGCTTCCACCAGATTCCCAAAAATGTCTTAAATAAGAAAATGTTAAGAACCTTACAGTAACACAAGAGTCTTAATTCTATCTCAGAGAGGTGTGACTCAATCTTATTGCAAAATCTCTCAGAGGTAAAGACCTTTCCCAGCTAACCTTTTAATGTTGTTGTTCACCTTATCTTTTTTCAGCCTGCAAGCATTCTGACTTTCCAGTATATTTTCAGCAGTATATTTTTCACTGCTGTGTTTCCAAGTCACAGTATAAATATTCCTAGCTCCACACAAGGCAGTGCCCCTTCCACACATATGATCCGCTGGAAACTAGGTCAGTGGCTTAATACCAGGAACATATTGGAAACATGCTGTGAAGATATCGGTTCATTATCCCTTCAGCAGCATTTCAAGGTTTGCAAATGAAACCCTAACAGAAAGAAATATTCATGTAAGGCTACACAAGAAAGGAATAAAGAATCATAAAACCTAAGACTTAAGAAACTTGAAGGTTATTCTTTTTCTTTCTCCTCTGTGATTGGAATTATTACTGTTTCTCCAACAAATAGCCATTTAATTATTACCAAAGACTTCCGATGACAAGAAATTCACTACCACTCCAGGTGTTTGTTCTAGTGTCGTAATTCTAGAATTAGAAGATTTATCTTTAAAATTAGTCACAATCTTTCTTCTCAACAGATTGCTTTAGAACTCTGGGTAGTGCAACTCCCTCCTCTATTTAGGTTGTCCTTTAAAGAGTATATGGCAGTTTCTGAGTCCTTCTTCTTGTCACCTAGAGGCAAACCATGTCCTGCTTATCTTTGCTTATCTCCATGGTCCTATATACTGTGCAGCTGGACACAGCAATGACACAGAGGGTTAATGAAAAAATGGATGAGCCAGGCTTGGTGGTGCATGCCTGTAATCTCAGCACTTGGGAGGGTGAGTCAGGAAGATCACCAGGAAAAAGGAGGAATGGGTAAATACCCATCTGTTGAATAAAGAGATGGAAAGAGGTGCCCAAGTTTCAAAGTCCCAGAGTCCTCTGACCCTGCCCAGTATGGTGGGGCAAGGGTGCTCTGTCATGAACCATAGCATAGACCCCCACCTCCTGATGGTGACCTGCAAGGACTCACCCTTGAGCTTCAGCATTTGCCCTGAAACCTAAGTGTAAAACAAACTAGGCACAAGCATCTCCTGGCTTCCTGCACTCAGCCTGGGTTTAAAATTGTCAGTGTCTATGGGATCCAGCAGAGTATCTAATAAAGCAGAGCTTCAGTGTGTACGAAAATAAAAGCAAGAGAGAATTCAAGCATAAATATCTTCCCAATTAAATAGTCTTTATTGTTATTATTTTCATTCTTTATTATTTTAAAAATAAAATTGTGTGTTTCAAATAAATATCACCATTAGTTTAGCCCTCATGAGTAAGAATACAGAATACACCACCAGACTCGGGAAGGAAGGATGGAACCCAGCTTATTTGCCAGGAGATTTTAAGAAAGGTGTTTAATGTCTGTGCTACCTAGTTTCTACAGCTATAAAAAAACTGGGCATATTACAGTATATTAATAACACTGGTAAAGAGAATTTCAGTCAGCATTGAGTGCAATGTGGAATACCCGGAATAATTACGTATAGTTTTTCCAGTTACTCATTGTCTCTGTTCGCGGCAGTCACATTTTCACAGGCATAGCCTGACAAGCATAAATGCATCTGTGAAAAATACTTGAAAGATACCTTTGGGATATCTTATAAATTTCTTTTCTACAACCATCTTAATGTGGCCCAACAACATCCTAACAAGACAATCTGGTTTAGAAGGAAAAGTGCTGGGCTAATTATCAGGAGACCAGGTTCCCATGCCCTTGTGTCAAATTCCTTGGCTGGTCCTCATTTCCCTGTTGACCATTCCATACCTCAGTGTCCCCACCCAGAACCATCATTATAGGGTGAAGTTCAGTACCTAATACGTTTATTAAATAGTCCTCATCATAATCCTATGAAGTTCTGCTGATAAATAGGAGATTCACTGATTCAAAATGTTTCCTTTCTCTCTCTTTTTTTATATTCCTTTCTTTCTTGTAGCCTCATCAAAGCCAGGAGTCTTAGGCTTGGAATGGCTTAGTCTTCCTCTTCTTTCTCTTCCTTTCCTCTCCTCCTTTTCTTCTCTTCCCCTCCTCCTCCCCCTCTTTCTCCTCCTCCTTCTTTCTTCCCCTCCTTCTCTTCCTCCTTCCTTTTCCTCCCCCTCTTTCTCTTCCTCCTCCTCTTTCTCTTTACTCTTCCTCTCTCTTTCTCTCTCTGTCTCATTTTTCCCTCTGTGTTGCTCTTATAATAAAGGATACCTGTTGCATCACATGGACCCATTATTATTGTTGTGCTGGAGGCCCGATTCAACCCACAGGCTTTCCAGTTTCCATTCTACCTTTAAGATCAAATACAACATTCTTTACTTTTAAACTTACATGTTGTCAGAAATCAGAAAGATAGGCTGTAAAAGAGAAACTAAAGAAAAATTAGAGCAAGAAAAGTGTCTAGAGTATGCTCTCAGTTCTAGAAAGGGCTCTGACTACACCATGCTCCCCGGGTTAGCCTCCCACTGTGGCCAGCAACTTCTTACTGTGAACTGAGCCGAACTGACCAAAGGCTCAGGGTCCTGCCATGGTGTCAGCAGATTGCAAGAGGAGAAAATGCATGTTCTTGATTACAGGACAGTGTTCTCCGAGATCCTACAACAGCAACATCCCTGTCTGTACCCATGTTGCCTGTTCAAATAACTGTGCTATCCCAAAGAAATGTGATTTCCAGTGTCCGTAGGGCCATATCAAGAGTCCTCATCTTTGCAGGGTACAATAAAGTCAGAGGGGAAGGAAGACTGAATTCTCTCAACATCTGTCATAACTGCTACCTAAAAGTTCTGCCTATAAAATAAGTCTGCCCCTTTATGACACTAATCTCACATTTCATTTTGTCCCCGTTCTTTCCAAATTCTGATTCTCAGCTTTTTCTTTTTTTTATGATTATCCTTTATTTAAATTTTTACAAAAAGGGATAAATCTTATTAAAATGGAAGGGAAGTTGTAGTGAAGACCCTAAGGTATCAGATAACAAAGGAAGTTGGGACAAGACAAACATTGTAGAAACGTGTGAAACTACACAGACCTTCATGTGTCAAGGGTGTTAAATAGCAAAAGAGAGAATCAGAGATTACACAAGGAAAGGTTTTTTTTTTGCTCTCTCTCAGCTTTTTCTTAAATTAATAATGGACAATTCAATCATGAGAGCTTGCTTCTATTAGACACCCTAAAATTTGAGAAATTATACCTTTTCTTTAAATACTATGATATTGAGGGCATCATTACTCAAGAAGCACAAATAATATAGTATAGCCTTCAAAGCAGAATTCAGTCCATTTATTTAGTTGTATGGAAAAATGCTGTGTAAGTAAATTTTATGTCCTGTTGGAACGAATGTGAAAAGAAAGATAATAATAAAAATTTAATTCATTATTTATTTAACAGTATTATTGTTTTGTCAAATAAAATACTCCAAGTCTTGTTGCTTCAGATTATCAAATGCTGGAGCTTGCACAATCTGTCATTACTTTTTAAAGCTCTAAAAAAATTTGATCCTCAAAAGCAAATCCCGTTTCATGAGGTTATGACTTACACATACTGCTACTACCTAGGACCTAGACAACAGACATCTATTAATATGGCATGCATCTAAGCTAGGTGTCTTAACAGCCTTGGGGAAAGAGGGCTGCAGCAAAGATGACAGGATATATGTGACAAATGTCCTTCTGAATTTCAGGCATGTTATGATCTCCTTTACTCTTAATAGATTCTAGCACAGAATAAATAATAAAGGATTACTGCCACACAGTTAAGGCAAGTTAAAGGCAATGTATTTGAGACTTCAGCAATGAATTGACACTAGCCATGATTACTAACTGCAGCTCATATAAGGGTAAAGTATAATCAAGGGTTTGGCTGGAAACCTGGAAATAAGGTACCCAAGCAGGACCAAGTGGAGATTAAAATTATGCAGAGTTGCACAGGGAATGTGCTGTCACTCTAGGCAGGTAGACTCAGACTCGATCAGGCCACAGCCATCACCACTCACCATTCCTGCAGAGCAGGACAGCCAGGAAGTCTTGAGAAGAAGAATTGATGAAGAGCAAAAGGCTGGGTGCCTGAGCTGTCACAAAGCTGAGCACTATGTTCTCCTTGGATGGAGCTGCATCTGTGTAAATAGCTGAAGAGGAGGAGCTAGTGTTCTTGGTCACAGGGTAGGGCTCTTGAAACGTGTACGTCACAGATGTGCCAGCCTCAAACACAGCTGAAACCTCTGCAACAGAGGAAAGAGAGAGGACACATGGAAGCAGTTATTCTTGGCAACCACAACTTTCTATATATTGTTTCCTACATACCAGGCCCTATGCACAGGGTTCTACATGATTCATATAATATGTTCATGATGATAATTTTGAAATGGTAACATGAATTCTCTTTTTCACAAATGAGAAACTTAAGGTTCCCAAAAGTTAGGCACTTCAAACAAGGTTGCACAGTAAAAAGAAGTATTCAAGTGTGTCCTGTAAGTTTACATCCAGTTCCAAATACACTTACAGAATAACTACTACATGCCAGGCTAGTGTTTTGTTGTTGCTGCTGCTGTTGTTGTTGTTGTTGTTTTGCTTAAATTCTTTCATTGGTACACTTTAGGTATAGAATACATTTGCATTTATCATTGGGTACTTGTACCTATACAAAATGTATCTTGGTTCTTATTTTTTCCCCATTACCTGTACGCCCTTCACCCCCTCTACCCTTCCCTATTTATAAAGATTTTGTTTCCATTTTCTCCTTTTCTTATAAGTTTTCCTTTCCTTTCTTTTCCTTTCCTTTCCCTTCTTTCCTTTCCCCTTCCCCTCCCACTTCCCCTAGTGCTTTTTAGATGCTAAATAAATGTCTCTGCTTCCAGCAGAATTCATAGAGAAATTTTACTGGGACCATCCCACTGTCAAAACAGATAAGCTAAGAGTTTCAGGTAACATTTACCTAGTGTTTCAGGATCTGAGTGGCTGCCAAGTTGCTGAGACTAGGACCTGAAGAGGGGCACCAGTTTTTTCTGATACTGGGCAAAATGTGAGGAGCAGTGGAAACAGTGTGGAAGTGATTAGCAAAAACACTAAAGAACGCACAGGTACTCAACCCAAGACTCAGTTTTCAGAAGTGCAGGCACTGCTACTCAGTTCCAAAAGTTAGCAGATTTGGGGAACAATTGCTACAGCACAGCACATTAGCCAGAGTTCTGTCACTGCCATAAAGTAATGTGGTATTAATAAACAGATGAAATTCAGTTATCAGAAAACTTCAAATTTCCAAATCCCTCTTTGTAGAATGCTCTCACTCTGTTGTCATTTTGGTACTGTGGATGTAGCACAGCAAGAATTATCAGTAACTCTTAGGTCTCTTGGTTTCATACAGGCTGAGTGGTCCAGGGCAAATCGTACAAGCTATGCTGACTGTTCTCCCTGCTAGAGAATGAGGTTCATAGCATCTACCTCATCCGTGTCTCTAAGTGGATGGGTGAGATATATGTAAAGCACTGCTTAGCGATTTGAACTTACAGACTCCCTGTGTTAGAAGAGAATTTAACTAAACCCTCCCCAGCTATCTTTATACAATGTATCACTTTGACTACTTTAATCCAAATGCCGAAATGTTTTTACTGCTTCAATCAAGGCTACCCTTGAGTTCACTTTAAATTTTATCTGTTTACTGTTTCAGGTGCTAGAGAAAGATTTCTTTGTAGAGCAACACATCTTAGATATGGCAGCAAAGGTCTGGCATAAAAACAGCACAGCCAACAGGAGTCCATGCTGACATGATCAATTTCTCTTCATCTGGAATGACATGTGGAATGTTCTTAATTCCTTGTGAAACCCCCTGATCGAGTTTGTGGCACCTAGAACATAATCAAATTTGGCTTTCCTACCTAATTTTATTGCAGATTTGTTGCACCTTGTGAAAATTTTGTTACAGTCTGTAATAGTGCCAGAAAATTAATGTTGCATATTTATGCATATGGCCTAGCAGATTGGGAATACCAGAGCCTTTTTACTAAAGGCTCAGAGAAAATGTTTTACATTTATTATCCAAGTTGCAATATTGGTATTTCTGATTAGAAAAATATGCAGCAGACACTAGTGACATGAAGATTTTGGCTAATCGTCTGCTTGATTCAAGGGTTTTCCTTGAATAATATTCTTTAGGGACATTTGGGTATGTTTTGAGCTACCATGCCCAAGTTAACAAAATGAAGGGCTCTTATTTGATGTTTATATATGTAGTAAAAGTAAGTCTAATTCAGATCATTCTATTATGAAAAGCATATCAGATATGAGTATAGATATTCTTTTTCTTTTTATTTAGAAAAAAAGTCTAAAATAAAAGCATCTAAAATTACGTATGTTAAGCCAAATTTCTGCTATTGTTCTTCCCTTAGGCCTAGTTGCAATTACTTTTAATATTTAGGTATTTTAATATAAACCTAAATTCAGTAATGTACCTAGACTGTTACTCTTTCATCTTCCTATGCTTTCCAATCTGAAATTATGGCTCTCATGAAATAAGTTGAGTTCTCTGAATCTCCAGAACTTCAGATTTTCTTCTTATAAATTCACCTTCCCCGTTATTTTCCTACTTCTTCAGCCAGGGGCCCGGTGTCATATCACTTACCTAAAATTAATTGTTCTTTGTTGAAGTACTATTTATGGTGCAATCCTAAGCCACTGCTTTGAATAATTTTTCTTCTGTGTCGTATTAACGGCACACACCAAAAAACCTGCTTGTTTTTCTCTTACTCATCTGTCCTTATAAGAGCTTTGTTCCAACTATGTATTTGTGAGGGTTAAGGATACCTAAAAGTTACACAAGCTGAAAATAATTCTCAGAAAACTCAACCAACCAAAATTAAAACAACTGGAAATGTGAATAATGGAAAACTTATTATTACATTTTCCTTATGATAATGGTACTGTACAAATGTGGTTTTTTATAGTCCTTACTTCTCACCATTACATAGTGCATTGTTTATAAATGATATGATATTATACTTGAGATTTGCATCAAAAAAGTAAGAGAAGAGGAGTTGAGAATCTTACTGAAGTAAAAATAGTCCTGAGTTGGTAGTTGTTAAAGCTAGATAATGGGCATCTGAAGAACTGCTGAAACATCTCACTACTGCACCACACCTTCATTGTCCATAATAAAAAATAAACAAAAAGGGTACAAGTTAGCAGGAATGTAAATATTTAAGAATTTTAATACATGTGTTTGCATTATTTGTGAACAAAACCTGGGATGACCTAAATGTCCTGGACAGGAGTAAGTAGCAGCATTGGGTAAAACTTTGTACACCAGGAGTTAGTGCAAATGCTCTGTGCAGATCTCTGGGAATGTGAAGCAAGGCCTCACATTAGAGATTCTTATGAATTTCACCTTTTGTAGATGAAAAAATCAAGGGGGCTTGAGGTTGAGCTGCATGAAAAGTGACACATAGGGCAGATTGGAGATGAGTGAGAATCCAAATTTAGGTCTGCCTGGTTCTGTGTCTTAGGTCACCATGACAGCAAGGGTTAAATGGGTGAAAGTGCCTTCATTCATTGGTATGTATTACAATGGGAAGCTGCTTACACATATTTATGATTTATATGAGAATGTTATGAAATGAAATAAAGAAAATTCATAATAGACAATATAATGGCCAACTTTATTTCTGTCATATTAATTATATAAAAAAAGAGATAAGAGAAAATAATTTTAAATTATTGTCTCTGAGTAACTAAAATGGGTTTAAACATTTCTAGATTTCCAAGTAAATTTTAAAATATATGATCTAACATTTTTAATAAAAAGTATAAATGACAGACCTACATTATTTAATGGTGATGGGAGGCATCAAAGACAACTATACAGCAATGAATGATGTTGGAGCAAGTGGATTTGACATGCAAAAGACTCAAGTTGTAACCCATCTACCTCATAAACAAACCAAAACTCACAAAACACTCAAAATGGGTGAAAGTGCTAAATGTAAGTGCTAACAGTTCAAAATTCTTAGAAAAAAATCACAGATATAAATCTTCATATCCTTGGAGTAGGGAAAAATTTCAGGCTAAAACACTGAAAGTAAAAGCAATAAAAGAAAAACATGAAGAAACTGGACTTCATCAGAACTGAAAATAATTGTATGTCAAAAGGTGCTACAAAGAAAAGAAAATACAGTGAATAGAGAAAATACTTGCAAATAACATATGTAATAAGCGACTTATAGGGCCGGGGATTTAGCTCAGTGGTTCTGCTGCCTGCTGCGCAAGCACAAGGTCCTGAGTTCGATGCCCGGTACCAAAGAAAAAAAAAGGGACTTATATTCAGAAATTAAAAGAAAATCTTTCAACTGAACAGTAAAAGATAAGAAAAAATCTACAAAAGATTTGAATAAATATTTCTCCAAAGAAGATACACAAATGGACAACAAAATATGAAAAGGTGTTTGGTATAATTGGTCTTGCGTAAGTTCAAGTTAAAACCACAGTGTGGTACCACTTTCTGCTTAGGGAGATGTATATTAACAAAAACTCAGGCAAAAATAAGTGTAGGCAACAAAGTGGAAAAGTGAAGCTCTCATAAACTTCTGGTAAGAATGTAAAATCTAGCAGCCTCTTTGCAAATTTATTTGACAGTTCCTCAAAAGGTAAGATATATGGCTACCATATGACTCAGCAGTCTTACTGCTAGGTCAATACTCAACAGAATAAAAGACATATGTCCACACAAAAATGTCTATGTGAATATTAACAGCATTATGATAATAGCCAAAGAAATGTAATCATCTCAATGTCCACCAAGTGATAATTGGATAATACAAAGATGGTATATCCATACTATGGAATATTCTTTGGTAATAAAAATAAATAAACTACTGAGAAGTGCCAGAGTGTAGATAAACTTTAACAACATTTTGCTAAATCAAAGAAAGTAGACAAAAAGAGGCCACATTGTACAGTTTCATTTACATGAAAGATCCACAATAGGCAAATTCATAGAGGTAGAAGGTACATTCGTGGTTTCCAGGGCCTGGCAGGAGCAGTAAATGGGGAGTGACTGCCAATGGGCACAGAGATTTGGGGGAGGATGATGAAATTGTTCTGACATTAAATAGTGGTGATAACAGGCACGTCTGTGAAAATACTCAATAGTCACTATGATCCTTAAAAGAGTGAGCTTTACAATAACTAACCTAAAAACACAAAATGCACAAAACAAAAAGCTATTAATCTG